CCTTTCCGCATCACCACTGATAGGTGGAAGAGGTGTTAGCTTTATTTTAGGGTTGTTTATGATTTCATAGGATTCATATAACTAAAATGTATGAAATAATCTCCATACTTAATAAAAACCTCTCTTATGTGCCACTTGTCATTTTTTTAGACTTCATTTTGTCACGTGTCTTGTTTATGTTTACCCAAAATTTGTTTTCCCGCTCATCTTCCTTCCTTTGTTAACGGATGTCATCCCCAAAAAATCAGGGATCTTAATTTAAAACTTAGCTGTTATCCCAATAAATCAGGAATCCTAATTCATCTCTTAATTTCTATATTTGTATTATGCATTCCATTGATGCATCTCCCGTTTGCTATTCCCTATGTGATGCGTCGATTAAACTCTGGAATACACAACTCTCTCCTACATCCTTCTATCTCTCCTACATCCTTCTCTCTCGCCAACAGTCAGTTCCAGAAGAAAGCAAGTATACTTCCGCCTTCGCCATGTATTCTCCCTGCAACAACTGCAACAACATGTATACCACTTTGCCACCGTCGGTGATTAGGTTGTTCCTCCGGTAACCGACCTTCCCACCAAGAAAACGCACGAGCCAAGATTCGTCGTTTTGGGTTCCGGTTGCACCTACCTGCATACTTGGACATCCGAGGCAAGATTCCCAAAGTCAAGCCCTATGCTTTCACGAAATCGCCAAGAATCATGCTTATATGTACTCCGACTGTGAACCCTAATCCTCTCCGGTAAGCATCGGGTTTGAATTTTTCAAAATTTTACTTAGTTACACAACATTGATGAGGGGAAAATGCTTATACCATACATGTTTGGTGGATATGTTGTTTGTTTTTTAATGAATGGGTTTCAATTTCACTTTGTGTTTTGATTTCAATTTTTTTTGCCTTATATTAATGGTGAGCTTTATAATTTCCAGTCACTATTCAGGTTCAGCAATCTTGAGCATGATTTTTTTTTGCTAATGTGATTTCTTATAAGTAATGTAACATGCAGATACTTGCAAAGTTGGTATGCATAATGATATGTTATACATGAGCTTTGTTTTTTATTCAATTTACTTTTTTGATTAATTAACAAAGATTTTGTGTTAATTGGACAGGTGGTTTTAATTGGTTTGGCGAAAAACTTTTTTTTCTTCTAAAAGTGAAGAAAGCAAACCTTTTTACTGTTGTATATAAACAAACTTCATTTTTTTACATCCCATGGTTTTACCTCCACGGTTTCCTCTTTTGAATCTTACAATCAAAATAATATTGCCTAAAGGTTGATAATCATCATTTTATTCAACATGTTCCGGTCAGATGGGATTTTTTTTTCTACTAAATTTTTTGGTATCTAGGTTGCATCTTCTGTTTTGTTATTATCATTTGAGATAATTGGATAAAGTTGGTTTTGTTTAAATGGGCGATGGAGTGTACCATAAAGAAAGTAAGAGAAAGCAACATAAACTAGACGACTTGAAAAAAGGGTGGAGCTGCAAAAGGAGCTTTTTTCCGTCTTACCTAAGGCATTACAGGTAATAGGCTTGTATTTTTAGTCTTTAGTTATGGTTGAACAGTGTATTTGTGCTAAAAATTGGTTAAGCTTTTTGGACATGGTAAATCTTCTTTTATGATAGCAATTGTGATACTAACACAGACAGGAGACAGGAGACAGAAAATGGAACTATCATTGTGGTCATTTTCTAAATCATTGATTAATCACTCTTTTAGACACATTTTTGGTTGAGAGTTTGGTAATTGGGTAATTAGTTATTTCTAAATGGTTACTAAATTGAAAATAAGTTTTTCTTTTTTACTTAATCTTTTTTTTCATATTGATACTGGAATGATATGTCTGTTTGTTTGGTTTCTATTGCTCAAAATGGCATTTAAATTTATTTTTCTAAAACTGTGTTTGATTTGTACAATATAACATCTTACTATCACCTCTTTTGCCACGTGTCATGTTGAGAAAGCATCCTGGGTTGTTTTTTTCCCAAGTAAAATGCCTAAACTAGCAATGTATTTTCTATTGTCCTCTTATTATGGCAATGTACTTTCATTTCCTTATTACAACAATATAATTTGAAGATTATTTTGTTAGAGCTTAGTACTTTATCACATATTGCTTTATTTAATGGTATTAAGACCTACCATAGTATTGTGTGTGGATTGGAATACAAAAAGACTTGAAAATTTATGCGTTCTCTTTTAATGTTATCTATCTTGCACGTTTTACTACATAAAGTTCTGAACTACATAATTTCCCATTCATGAAACTAATTTTTCAAAAACTCAAAGGTAGATGCTATATTAGAAACAAAAGTTAATATTTAAAAAATAGTTAATTTCAAAACTCGATATAATCTTTGTTCTGACATTTAACTCCATCAAAAGTTAATTTTAACAAAATAGCAATGTACTTTTAGTTTTATGTCAAATATTGCATCATACTTTAATTTTTTATTTCTATTTAAACATTACTTTTTTACATGGATCATTTAAGACCTCTGTTTGATTAATTATTTTCCTACAAGGATCGTTTATGTACACTATTATTTAGTTAAATATTATTCTTTATGCATCTCTCTTACAAAATTTTAAGCTCTATCCCATATTAATTAAGCCTTTATTTTTTTTTCTTTTTCATATATTATTTTAATGTCTAAGAATGATTTTAGAGACTTAAAATTTAACTATAAAATTTCCACACGACCATATAAGTGGTATTTATGAATACCTATTATATATTGTGGAGGCTAACCTTCAAAATTATAAATAAAAATCTTGTGAATGAAAAAGCACATGCATAATGTCCCATGTATCTTAAAACAATTACTTATTTATTAACATAGTAATAATTATGTTTTCAAGTACCAAAATTAATTTAATTTTTTAACCGTGGATCCCACGGGTTATAACCTAGTATAATAACAAAACTATTATAATATTAAAATATATTGTTAGTATAAATTTTTAATGTATGGTTAAAGTTGAAAAGAATTTGGTGTAAATTATAACCAAAAACGTTTTTTTGACAAAAGTCTTATTACTTATAATCGAAAGTGTTTTTTTTTTTATTATTTTTTTTTGACAAAAGCCTTATTGACATTTGATTTTTTCCAAAATGAGTTTTTAAAAAAACATTTGAATTAGTTTTTGTGACGGTAAATGTCAATAATTTAATAAATTATATTTTTAAAAGTATTTGACTTAACTTTACATGTATAACGACTAAAAAGGAGTTATGTTATTGAAGTTTTAGCATAAAAAAAGCCAAATACACTTCAAAGGGTCAAGTTCAACTAACTTTTTAAAGCTTGGGTCATTTGCAATACTCTTCACAACAACCGTCATGGAGAGCTTCCAGATTAGTCACCACGAGCGAGTGACGAGCCACCCTTATTCCATGGAGTACTATCCACGATGAAGAAGAGAACCATGATAAACAAGAGAGAGAGAGAGAGAGAGAGAGAGAAGAAGAAGAAGAAGAAGAAGAAGACCCTTATTGTTGTTCATCTTCCCCACCACGAAAATGACCGACCGTAAATGGCTGAGGTGGTATGCACGGATCACGACGGTGACAACGTCAACCATGAAACCCTTCGTGACCGGTATTCCAGACGGTCTTATGAAAAAAAGTTGTTTTCAGAAATACTTTTCAATCACCCCATCGTCTCTTTAACTTAGGGAGGAGAGAGTCATTCCCTCCCAACCCACTGAACCCACTACCACATCAGTTTTTCTCTTTCATTTTTCTTCATCTTTCTCAATCCACACCATACGGAAACCCTATCTTTTTCAACCTATTCAATTAAAAAAAATACAAAACAATCAAGGTAAAATCTTAATTAGCAATAGAGTTACCGCCGGTACCACTCCCTCTTCAGCGGATTGTTTAATTGGTTTCACTAACCCACTTCATCCTCTCTCTCTATACTTTCTCTCTCTCATTTTCTTTTGTACCATGTGTTTTAAAACTTGTACCTTGGTTGTTTTGTATTTTTTGTAATTGAATGAGTTGAGAACTAAGCTATCAATTGCGCGCTATAGCATTTTGCGGAGGTCGAGAACCGCTATTTTCAGTTTAGCGTTTTCATTTAGTGGTACCGCTATTAGCGGCGCTATTTACCGTTATTTCAATTACCGCTATAGCGGCGTTACAGGCGCTATTCCATTTCGTTCACATTTTGGGCCATTTGGTTACTTTGTCAATGAAAAACTATTTTTAATGATCTCACTACACTTTCATTTTAAAAAGCCCCAACAACTACCATAATTAAAAGCATTCAAAACAACTACATCTACCGACAAGTCTCTTTCTGTACCCACGACGACTTGAGCTGTTATGGTCGGACTACACTAATGCTTTTTCTAAATCAACCCAGACATTTGAGGCTACAACTTGGGACTTAACTCCTTAAACCAACCACGGCCTACTAATACGAGATTGAACCCGTGCAATGCAATTAAACTCTATTTGACATTTTGACACTACCTAGTTTCCATATTACTATAATAGAATATTATGTTATGTTTTTATATGACTTTTTTGGTTTAATGATATTAATTCTATATAGACTTATAGTATTGATACTCAAATATATAAATTCTTTATAAAAATGATATAAAATTATAAATTATATGTAATATTAAAAAACCGTTATATCACCGTTATACCACCGCGATAACCGCGATTTCAAATAGTGGCATGTCACTGCTATTGAAATTTTGACCGCGATAACTGCATAGCTTGAGAAAGATAAGATTTTCGTGTGTTGTGGGTTGAGAAAGATGAAAAAAAAAAAAAATTAATGTGACATTGGGTTCAATGGGTTGGAAGGGAATGATTCGTTGATCCTTGATCGACTTCTCAACAAGTCAACACTTAACCAATCCAAACAATCCAAACACAATGGATCGAAAAGGGTACAAGACCATTTCGGCAGACACAATTAGCCGTTTTCCCAGTTCTCACTCACACTTTGGGTTTGGGATGTTAAGATGTTCAAAATCTATCGAACAATTCCTTTCTTCTTCTTGAGATCACGTTTCCAGTTCTCCATTACATCCTTTTCATCCTCCTCATCGTCTACAAAAATCACAGAAATCGTATCTACAAATCCCTTTTTAAATTACCTAATCGATTCTCTCGGATTCCATGAAGACGACGCCATTGCTGTTTATTCAGAGGTACCTCATCTCAAATCCACAGCCAATTCTAATTTAGTTGTTAACATCTTCAAAGAATACGGCTTAAACAACGTCCAGATCAGAGACATCGTCTCAATGGCTCCCAGAATTCTTACAGTCAAACCTAACAAAACCCTAGAACCGAAACTAAAGGTTTTCACGGAACTAGGGTTACTAGGGCCGGATCTCGTGAAGCTGGTTAAGAGGAATCCTCTTATTTTCTCCAGGGGATTACATACTCAAATCATTCCTACTGTTGATTATCTTCGAAATTTACTCGGATGTGATGAGAAAGTGGTTAAAATGATTAATAGATCAAAGTGGATGCTGTTACCCAACTCGTCTCTCAGAAGAATATCGGCAAATATATCATTACTGAAACAATACGGTCTATCCGATGAGAAAATCTTGAAGCTTTTAGTCACTGATCCTCAGCGTATGAAGCAGACACCAGAATTGATTGAAAGCAAGCTGCAATATCTTGAACAAAAATTAGGTATTTCTCGTGATTCACCTCTATTGATTCATGCATTGGTTGCTGTTATGTATCGTAGTGAATCAGAAATTGAGACGAATCTACAAGTTTTTAGGAGATTTGGTTGGTCTGATTTGGAAATAGGTAGATTGCTCAAGTCTCAACCTTACTGTTTGAACAAATCAGAAGCTTACATTGTTGATAAATTGAACTATTTCATGAAGGAACTTAATTATACTCCATCGTACTTGATGGGTTCCACATCTTTCTGGACATTGAGTTTAGAGAAACGAATGAAACCAAGGATTGAAATTATCAAAATCTTGAAAAAGAAGGAACTGGTGAAAGAGTCATTGTCTCTTAGTACACTTGTTAACTATTCTGAGTCGAAGTTTCTTGGTTTCTTGAAGAACTTTGAGAGTCACATACCTGGTTTATGTGAAATATATAAGAATAGATTGAAGAATTCAAAAGTAGTTGAATGATTTAGTTGTTTAAAGCTCCATTGACTAAAAGTCAACCTTATTGAGGGTTCGTGAAACCACTATAGAATAGAAAGAATGATACAAAAGAAGTGATTTTGTTAGTTTTAAACTCTGTTTTGCTATTAATAATTTGTCATTTGTTTAGAAGCATTTGGTGATATATTGGAATCAATGGGAATCGAGGAATGAAATAACTAACTTGTTCCATAGTTTGTTTTTTGAACAAAATGTAACAATAAATTATCTTATGAGATCAATTTTACAGTTCGTATGTGTTTTTTGAACAGTTCAAATAGTCCAATTATGACATTAATCCTATTGCAATATTTCGTTCCATTGTATGATGAAATTAAAAAAAAAAAAAAATAGGATTGATATTTGACAAAATGAAAGGAGTCAAGGAATGTAGAATTCCTTCCATAGGCAAAACACACACATGTTTTTTTATTGAACCATTTCATTTCTTAGTCAATGTCATCATACCAAACACTACCTTAAAATATATCAATGACTTAAAAACTCAAAATGTACAAATATATCAATGACTCAAAAACTCAAAATGTACAAAAGAAGTATTTCATATATGTAAACATGGTGAATATCTAGTTAAACTGATGATATATAAAAGAGCATCTAAATATGCAAGCAAAAGTTCTAAACTTCCAAAACACCACTCAATTATAAAAGGGCTAAAGAAGATTGTATAACTTTCAATTTAATATCATTTGCGTTAGGGTTTGGCAAATCGGGCAATCGTGTCGTGTTTTTGTCTGACACGACAATGTTTTATGTAACACGAACACGACACGACACGATGTCGTATTATTTTAACTAACACGAAAACGAACCAACTAAAAAACAACAAACACGACACGACATGACAAATATAACATAAAATAACAATTAGTTTATTTAATTAATACTTAACCTACATAACACGACAAACAAATGTTAAATCATGTCAATTTCGTGTCAAAATTTGAACACGGACACGACATGAAATCGTGTTTTTTAAACTTGACACGAACACGAATTCGAAGTTCAATTCCGTCCAAATTTTGTTTCTTGTCGTACATTTTTGTCATGTCAAGTCAAGTCGTTAATTGTCACCCTATCTTGCATAAATTCTGTATTATATATTGTTATATCATACACTTTTAATTTCAAAATTAAATTGTTTAAAAATAGAGTAAATTACACGAATGACCCCTATGGTTTGGGGTAATTTACTTGTTTGGTCTCTAACTTATTTTTTAACTCAAAAGGTCCTTAAGTTTCGATTTTATTGCGTTTTTCATCCCTATCACTCTCCAAAAGACTATTTTGTCCTTCATGATATATTTTTTTTTATCTTTTATCTTTTTTTATTATTATTTATATTATTATTATTAAAGATATTCATATTAAATATGTAGCTCCCATCATCCCATCCCCTCCACCCAACACACCCTTCCATTCACCTTCTTTTTCCGGCGCTTCCCCTCCGGCTAACCCCCACTAGCTCGTTCGTCTTCTCCGACAAGACCACAACCTTGTCCTTCTTCAACTTATCAGATTCAATATTATACAAAAATAAAAACCCAAATCGATTATAAAAATACAAATCTAAAATCAAATGAACAACAAAATCATACAGACCCGCAATTTTGGGGCTAGTCCTCTTGAAAACAAATCTGAAACCAAACTCCACTTAAACTCGACAACCACCACAACTACCACCTACACCACGTTCACCTTTGACGACAACAAGAAATGGTGAAATAAAATCCATAAAAATCAACCCGGAAGCTAAAAAAATGTTGTCTCTCACTATCAGATGAAACTTGATTTTCAGAAAATATATATCATGATCTTCAAAATCACGTTCACGTTGGGATTCTGACCAGGATACAAATGTTTTTTATTTAGGTTGGGTTGCAGATGTAGTTTCTTTCCCATCTTATCGTTTTTCCCCAATGAGTTGAACAAAAAACTGAAAATCATTATTGTTCACCATCATCTTTTCTCTAAACCAACGTCATCGACATTATGCACCTCACTTCCACATCGAAACCCAGACATGTTTTTTGAAATTTAATTTTAAAAAGAAAGGAGTCAAAGAGAAAATTTATCACTGTTGAAGGAATATCCATTAGATGAAATGGATTTCAGCATCCCCAATTTAGATCATTCGCTTAATCAAAACCCAAAGACTTCGAGATAGTTTCTCTTTAACAGGTTAAAAGTAAAACGCATTGAATTTGACCTCCATTGAAGCATCGACATTTTTTCTGGTTTTAATATCACAACCTCTCCTTCCTTGAGAGGTTGCCAGCGGCGGTGCGTGAGAGGATGTCGGCGGCGGATATTTCAGAAGGCCATTGGAGAGAGGCGGTTGACGGCGGGTATGGTCTCCGATGGTAACTTCAACGAATTAGGGTTCATTCCTTGATTCAAAGAAGGAAGGGAAGAGCGAATGGATGTATCAGGTTTACATGGGGTGTGACTTGTGAGGTGGGCTCCACTTTACTTAAAATATTATATATAAGAAATCATTATAAATAAATAAATAAATAAATAAATTGGTATAAATAAATCAAAAAAGAAATTAAAAAGGGTAATTGTTGTGATATGTCATCAGGCCGTCAGGTCTTCTGAGTTGATTCCTGACCGGAGGTCGAGAGGTGGTGCCGTCAGCAGGTTTCCGGCGAGATACCTGAGCCTACATCACAACAAAGTCGTTAGCCTTGCCCCAGGGACTGTGTCCTGGGAGCAAGCTCTGACGATCAAGTTAGTCCGGATGGTAGAGAAGAGATGGTTCTCCCTGGCCGGAAAGAACCATCTTGGTGTTGTAGGGATGTGTTTAGCCACGGCGGTTATGTGAGGGTTGAGAGAGAAAGGAGGAACCCTTTAGGGTTTTTTCTAAGAGAGGGAATATCCCTTAAAAAGGTGGGGGTCATGTCCTATTTATAGGGGACCATTATGTCAGAAGGACGGTTATGTCTTTTCCTCTTGGAATTAGGTCAAAGGGAGAAATTAGGTCAGGCCTTGGACCCATCCAGTTCAGGCCCAACTAGAAGGGAGTTGGGCCAGGCCTCCAGCGGTCATCAGACGAGCGCCTAGAGGTCACCAGTCGAGCGCCCGGAGGTCGCCAGTCAAGGTTGTCGCTCCTGGTCTTGAGGTCTGGACCATGCTAAATGGGTCATGCCTTAACAAGTCCCCTGTAACGCCTGGTTTCCGGTATGAACATATTTTTCCCATTATTTATATTTTCTTGGAGGACTCGCCGTGTTGTAAGCCTCAACACGGCGTTTCGATTTGTTTTTGGCCGCGAAGTTTAATGAGTCAACTCGGCAAGTCGAGGTGCCTCAACTCGGCGAGTTGGCAGCTGGGAAGGAAGCCCTAATTTTTAGGGTGGTTCACCCTATTTAAAGGCCTTAAGTCCCTTGGTTGGCCTCCTTACCAACCTCCTCTATCCATAAACCCTAAAATTGAGCATTACCTTCCATTGTTGAGTGTGTGAGCTTGGGGAGAGCCATGAGTGTTCATTTTTGGTGCATGTTGAAGGAGCTAAGGAATTAGGAGCTACTTGGCTTCAAGAAGAAGTCTTGGATCCAGAATCACTAGCTCATTTGCCAATATTTTGAGGTATCAAGTTCTCACCTTGCTTATTAGTTGCTTAGATCTCTTCTTGGGTTAGATTGTATGTTTTTAGCCTTGGTTGGGTGGATGATGGGGGAGTAAGACGTCCCAAATGTTTATTCTTTCAGATCTAAGATCTACATGAGCTCTTTTGGCATAAAGGTGCCAACTTTATGGTCTTAAGGGCTTCATGCATCCATTAAGTCCTTCTTTTGGCCTCTTTTGAGCATTTGAGCCTCTCCTAGTCATGCATGAGCGTAAAGTTGGAAACTTTACGTGGCCATTCAACTTTACGGGCCAGATCTGCAGTTTAGGGCTATGCCTGTGGTGATTAAGTGCTTAATGATTAAACCATCACCCTTTTAAGCCTAGGGTTTGGGTTTTGAACCCATTTTAGTGGTTCTTAGGGGTAAAGTTGGAAACCTTACCCTTCTAGATGCCATTTTAGTTGAGATCTGAGTTGTGAAGCTCTTAGTTTCGATAATGTCGGCTTAATGAATTAAGATGTTGGGTTTCTGGCAAACTCGGCGAGTTTATTGATAAACTCGGCTAGTTGGAACGCTTTATTCCCGACTTTGCAGATTAATGGAGAAACGCGGAAAGTTGAAGGACAACTCGGCGTGTTGGGTCAACTGGGGCCGTTGACTTTGATGACTGCTTACCATTTTCAGTTTATGTTTCAGGTACTTCCGGATGTAAAGGGAAGAGCTCGGGATGACTGCATCGCACACACCATTGAGATTCCACTTATGATGTTTTACTCTGATTTTATGGCAATTGATACATTGGTTTTTATTTGAATGTTTGGATGATATTCGAAAGTACTATTTTATCTATTATTAAAATGAAATTTTTGGGACCATATTTTTGGATGATACAAGTTGGTATCAGAGCCTTGGTTTGAGGGATTCGGGCACACTCTCGGGTGTGTCTGAACTCAAACTAATGACTTGATGGAAAATTTCAAAATAAAACATTTTTATAAAAAGGATTTCTAAAAGAGAAAAAAGTGTGGTGCATGCAATCCGCCGAGCTCTAGTAAGTTATCCCAAAATACACATACATGTTTATGATATGTGTTGAATTGTGAATCTGTGAATCGCATGCTAGATTAGGGCTAAGGATATAGGAGAGATGCCTTTGTATGCCTGCTTTTTGAACTTATAGATTTTCATGCTAGTGATGATCAGTCAGTAATAGGATGGCCTAATTAGGTTATGCTCTGTTCTGATTACTTGATGCTTGAATGCTGCTTGCTTTGTGCTTTTAGGAGTTCTTGCTAATTTCAGCTAGCTAGTAAGCGAATATGCTAAGTTACATATTATGAAAACTAAATAATTTCAGAAGGTTAGGTTTAACTCTATTGTGCAACTCTTATT